CTCAGGGGCCCCCCCGAGTATGGACCACGTCCAGAGGTCACGGGAGCCCCCAGCCGCCTTCCCCGCTCCTTGCCTGCATCTCAGGGCCCCCCCCCCCGGGTATGGACCACGTGCAGAGGGCTCGAGCAGGAAGAGAACTCAGAGGCCCTGGTGCCAGCTCCTCATTTTAGATGAGACCAGTGATAGGAGAAGTGGTAAGTGGAAGAGTCACATTCGAACCCAAGGCCTCTGACTCAGAGTCAGGTCTCTGTCCACTGCCTTTAGGAGCTCCACCCTGCCCGGGGCTCCCTCCTCTCCAAGTTAAAACGTCCCCAAGTCCCCAGAGATGATGGCCTTTCAGGTCCTGGGGCCCTTGGGTCGCTGACCCCACAGAAGCCCCAGAGTGGTCTGAAACTGACCCGACTGACCCACGGCCACCCCTCCGGGGGCTCCAGGAAGAGTGAGGAAGGAGCTTCTGCCCGGGCCACCCGTGGCAGGACATGCCTCAGGTCATCACCGCCCAGCCCGAGAGCGGGCCCAACGGGGCTCTCGCAGGGCAAAGGTCTGAGCACCAGGCCAGAGCTGGGCCAGAGCTGAGTACTCACCTCCTGCTCATCCAGGGTGAGGAGGGTCCGAGGCACCTTGGGGGAGGCGGAGGCCAGGCGCAGGCAGGTGGGGCTCAGCCGGGGGGCCACATGCTCCAGGAGTTTTTTTGGGGACAGGCCTCGGGGCGGGCCGGGTGGCAGGACCTCTTCAGAGATGGAGCCTCGCAGGGTCTGCAGCTGAGGGCGAGGGCAACCACCCCTCAGGGCCAGCACCCACATTGCCGGTGCCCCCCCCCCCAGCCTCCATCTCCCAGTGCCCCCACCTGAGTGGTCCTAATAATGAGGCGATAGCTGTGCTGTGGGCTGGCTGAGCCACTGCCCTCCTTCTCCTCCCGACGGATGCTCACAGCCACAGGGCCCAGGGTCTCATCTACCCCAAAGAAGTTCTGATGTTCTGGGGGTGGGAGGAGGCAGGCTGGTTATTCACACACCCATGGGGCACAGTCTCATTCCTTAGCCCTGCCCTGTCAGGCCAAAGCTCTGGCCTCTTCACTCAAGGCTGCCCCCTCTATCTCCTGATGCAGGGTAGCCATGGAAAACAGAGCCCTGAATCCTGAGTTCTAATTTCTCATAGCAGCTCTGCTATGAACTCACTGGGCCAGCAACCTTGGGCAAATCACCTCTCTGGGAGCCAGAGTTTTTCCATTTGTCAAATCAGAAAGTTGCATGAGTTTTCTAAGTTCCTTCCCAGTCTGACATTCCATGTTCTAAGATCCCTCCCAGCTGTGACACTCCAGGTTCTTATCACTCTGCCAGCTCTAACAGTCTCTGTTCTAAGGCCTCTCCCAGACATTCCACGTTCTAACATTCTGTGTTCCAAGGTCCCTCCCAGTTCCAGCATTCCTAGCTCAGACATTCCCTGTTCTAAGGCCCTCCCAGTGCTGACATTGCATGTTCTAAGGGCCGTCCTACTGACATTCCACCTTCTAACGTTCTGTGCACTCAGGTCCCTCATGCCTGCGACATTCCAGGTTCTTAGGGCCCTCCCAGCTCTAACAGTCTGTTCTAAGGCTTCTCCCACTGACATTCCAAGTTCTAACATTCTGTGCTCTAAGGTCCCTTCCACCTCTAACGTTCTCTCTTCTCAGGTGCTTCCCAACTCAGACATTCCAATATTTTATGAATGACGAGTGACTAAGCCCTATGTCCTCCCTGGCCATGGCTCTCTGCCTCCACTTACCCTCTGGTCCTTCTCACCTTTGCCATAGAAGTATTTGCGGTAGTATCCAGCCCCTGAGTCAGTATGCTCTAAGCTGTGGGGCTCAGAACGATTCTGGGGCTCTTCCAGGATGGAGATGGCAGCATTGGGCAGCTTGGGGGGCAGTGCAGGGGGCAGCAGCCCCCCAAGACCCAGCTCACCTTCCCCCCCAACCTCGCTCAGGAAGCCAGGTGCCCCCAGAAGCAGGTCCGAGCCAGAGGCTTGAGCGGGGCCAGGGGTGGGAGGAGTATCGGGGGGTGGGTCCCTGGCCCCAGTTCCCCAGTCAAAGAGAAGGCTCTGGACATCATAGTGTGCAAACCAGCGGGGCTCTGGGACAGGGGGGAACTCGGGGGGCGGCTCCCCCTCCGGCGGCAGGCCCAGCAAAGCTAGGGGGTCGGCGAAGAGGCGGGCGGGTGTGACTCCACGGCCTCCCTCCTCATTGCTATGGGCTCGGGCACGGGGGCTTGCTGCGGGCAAGGGCCGGGCCTCACCAGCATCGCTACCACTCCGAAGCAGCGGCCCCCCAGCCCCACCGGGCCCCCTGGGCTCAAAGGTGTGAGGGGTCAGGGCCGGCCGGGCCGGCTGTCGGAGCCTTCGGACAAAGAGGTCATCAGATTGCGTAACGGGTGCCAAGCCCCGCCGGGGGCTCTCGGGTCTACCTGCCCACATGTGCGTCCCACAAGCTTAGGCCCCCTGGAAGCGGGCCTCATTGGCCTCAGAGCAGGGCTGGGGGCCTGGCGGTGGCCCTTCGACCCCTTCTACCATCCGCCAGTCACCGGTCCTCAGCAGGTCCCGTGAAAGGGGCCTCGGGAAACCTCGCATGGAGAAGAGGGGAGGGAAGGGGGCATGCCCAGTCTTGCTGCTTTTCCGTGGGTACCGCGGAACGAGGGAAGGGCAGGCCGGGCAGCAGAAGCAGGGCCGAGCAGCGGGAGGCTGGGCCTTCTGTCATCCAGGGTCCAGGCCCATCAGTGGGGGAGGCTCATCTGTCTGGAGAGGGGACAGCCGGTGAGTGGGGGGAACCACAGAAGCCGAGTGAGAAAACAGGAACCCATCCCTCACTTCCCCCAAATCGAGTCTCCGGCCCTGCTCCCCTCCCCTATGACAGGGTCTGCTTCCGGCCCCCCTCCTCCAGGGCCCCAGGCTCATCAAAGCCACTTCCTCTTTCCCCCGCATTTCCTCCCTGGGGGGGAGGGGGTCCTGGTCTGTCTGGGGGCTACAGAACCTGAAGTTTCAGCTGAATATTATGGGGGGTCAGGGGTCTCAGGCCTGCAGGGCCGCCAATCCTGCCAGGACCTGTGCCCTTTTGGGCAGTCTGCTTAGCCTTCCTGGGCCTCAGTTTCTCCTCTGACAAATGAGGGCTCAGACTGGATGACCTCTAAAGTCTTCTCAGGCGCTAAATCTAGGATTTTGTAAACCAGTCACAGGCGATGAGGACACATCCCCCCTGGAAGAGCTTAGCGCTCGTCTCTCCCATGCCCCCACGGTGGCGGACAGTGTCCTAGCTGGAGCCGAGAGGGCTACTGGGGGTCCCCCAAACTCAGAGCCTGGTCCCTCAGAGCTCTAGTCTCTAGACATTGGGACTGCCCCCCCCCCGGGAAGTGTCCCCACTCAGGCTGGTCTGTGGTAGGCACCTCTGAGGAAGGGGGTACCAGCTGAGAGACAGGGCTCAGGACAGAGCGGGGGCGCTGAGATTCTGGGAAGCCAGAGCCAGCAGGGTGCAAAGCCGAGGAGGGCCAGCCTGGATGCCCGGGTCCCACCCGGGGCCCTGACAAAAGGAGGACGTCCTGTCCCCCGGGGCCTTTCCTTTCAGCCCCTCCCTTTTCCTCTTCAACCTAAGCAAGGCTAGAGTCCTGAGTAGGACCAGACCCCCTGAAGCCTGGGCACACGCTGAAGGGCAGAGAAATGTGCCTTGTTCACTCTTGGGATGTTGGGGGCCCCCTTTCCCCTCACGTGCTTTCTTCCACTTCCCCAGCCCCCCAGCCCAGGACAGCCCTGGCTACCTGGGGGAGTGGGCCGGGGGTCCCCAGGCCTGGCAGGCAGCGTGGCTGGAGTAGTGAGCACAGCCTTCCTGTGAGACAGGAAGTGGCCCCTGGCTCCAGGTCCCCACACTCCTGCCCCCCACCACATCCTCAGGAAGGTACTAGGGTCACTGAACCACAGTCACAGGGCACAGACTATCCCCCTCCCCTGGCCCGTGGTCCCTATCCCCACTTACTGTCACAAACTGAAGCCCAAGGAAGACACAATGACAAGCCCAGGATGAGAGGAGACGGGGCCATGGAGCCCGGGGTGAGGGGATGAAGCTTTGAGAGGTCTGGGGGCCGGGAGAGGACCACGGAGGGACCCCTGGGATCTCAGGGACGTGGGTCTAGATGGGGGGAGCAGATGGGACCACGAGGGGCCAGAGCCGGGGAAGGGGAGACGTGCCTCTCCCCAGCCACAGGACATGAGGCTGCTGTGGACTCAGCACCCACATGCAGGAGGGAAGAGCTGAGTGTGACTGAGGCCTGCCCCAGGGGGACGCCAGGAGGGGCTGAGTTCCCATCAGGCAGGAGGACTGGAGAAGGGAGGAGGGCCGGTGGGCAGGGGGACCCTAACATTGGTGCGTGGGACTGGGGGGCCGCTGGGAGCCAGGCTGGGGTCTCCCGGAGGGAGGGCACGTCCCTAGGTCACATGCCGGCCAGCCGGCTCCCAAATGTTGGCCGCTTTGCGTGAATGGCTCTGAGGCTGCCCGGGAGCTCAATGGGCCCCTGTCTCTCCAAGTCCCCCAGCCCCACAAGGGTCCGTTGAGGTCATGGGACATTCCATGCAGCCTGTGTCACCCAGGAGGGTGGGGAAGTCCTGGGAGCTGGGGCTCTGGCTCCGTCCCCCAGCCCTGGCAAAGGCAAGACCCCTAAGAGCTCATCCCTCCAGCACCCCCAGATGTGGAAGTCCTGGCAGCCTCAGCGCTAGGAAGAGAAGCTGGATCCTTCTCAATTGCACATCTGGGGGTCATGACCCTAGTTCCAGTTGCCAGCAGGGTTGGACAGATGTTTCCTCCCCAAGCTAGGCTGGGCAGGTCCTGTGGGGGCTGGGCTGGAGAGGACAGAGGGGACTAAGGAAATGGGGAGCTCAAGGGGTCAGAGTGGTGGCCGGGCCCTGGACCGGCCGTGGGCTGCTGCTGCCTCCACTCCCACCCTGCCCCAGGCACAGAAATACCATCAACTGAAAAGAAACCAGTGGCCAGTGCAGGGGCAGTGGGGAAGGGGGGGGAGGGCCCCGCAACAGGGGGGGCAGTAAAGGCAGCAAGGGGGCAGAGGGGCAGGAAGGGAAGCGGGGGGGCCCACAAGGCGGCAGCAGAGGCAGCAGGGGGGTGAAAGCTGGTGCGGGGTGGGGGGAGGCCATCAGCAGGGGTTCAGCAGAGGGCAAGGGGGGCAGCAGAAGGGTAGTGGGGGGGCAGAGGGGCAGCAGCGGAACCAGCAGGGACAGCATGGGTGAAAGCTGGCACCGGGGACCGTCAGCGGGGGGTCAGCAGAGGGGCAGCAGGGGTGAAAGCTGGCGCGTGGGGGGGCCGTCAATAGGGGTCTGGAGGCACAAGACGGGGGCACGTGCTTGGGGGGCGCGGGGAGGAAACCCCCCCCGCCAGACCCCGCTCCGCGCCTACCCCGTCCTCGGGGCTCCTCTGCCGGCTGTGCCCCAGAACAGGCTGCCCGCGCGCTCAGGGTTGGGGAGAGGGGAGGAAGAAAGGGGCTCCCCTGGACGCCACCCTTCCCCCACTGCCCCCCGCCCCGCTCCCTGGGGCGCCCGCGCTGTACCTCTTCGGGGTCCCACTTGCGCCCCGCCACTGAGTGCCGGCCAGCCGCCCGCGCGCCGCTCCCTGCCCGGCGCCCGGGCTCCGCCTCGGGGAGGGGCCTCGGCCCCCTCCCCCCCATCTCCCGCCTGGGCCCAAGGAGGGAGGAGCCGAGCCTGGGAGGGGGAGGGCCCGGCTGGACGCAGGCTCAAGGCCAAGGCCAGGGCCCCCGGGCAGCTGGGAGAGAGGGAGCAACCCGGGGGTACCCCAGGGAGGGCACCCAGGCTGGACTCGTTAGTGTGACCCAGTGGGAGGGGCACACGGCTCTGCCCCAAACCCTTGTGAGCCCCTGGCCTGCGACCTCCGCCCAACACCTTTGGGTCACCAAGTGGCCTTGGGGGTCTCCTCCAGGTGAAGCCCTGGAACCAGGCGCTTGGGGGTGATCCCCAGGCAAGCCCCATCATTTCTCTGGGCCTCAGTTTCCCGTTTACATCCATCGAGCTCAATGGCTCTCCTAACTCAGCAGCGTGGGTTTTCCTTCCAATGGTGGGGGTCCCAAGCGCCCCCTTCCTCACTCATGTGGCTCATTTGGTTGGCGCACAGCCCAGTGGACAGAAGGCAGGGCCCCCATTTCCTTTTGGCAGGCAGCCTGGGTCCCCAGGGCCAGCCTCTCGGGGGTCAGCTGAGGGTTCCTTCCAAAGGGCCCACCCATGTCTGGCTGTGCCCGCTGCCTGGGGCACCCTCCCTCCTCACTGCTCCAGGCTCCCGTGGCCGCCTCCAATGCTAGGGCTGTCCTTCGGGAAGGGACCCATTTCTCTACACTTTCTCCTGCCTGTTTACACGTTTGTCGCCCGTATTAGCCGGGGCACACCTCGGGGGCAGGGGATATCTCCAGCCTTTCTTTGTACAGCCAGCACTTAGCACAGGGCCTGGCACACAGCAGGTGTTTAATAAATGTTTACTAACAGGGCAGAAAATGCTCTTGGGGGGGGTCTTCATCCATCAGAAGGAGGCAACCCAGGGGCTCCCCTAGCATCTCTGAAATGATCCCAAGGAACGGGGGGATGACGTTTTATGGACAGGCTGCAATCTGCATGTCCCCGAGATCCCAGAGCCCCTGGAGCGCAAGAATCCTCAGTCTGCCCCCCCACCCCACCTCGCACTCCTGAGGATCCTCTGGGGAGTTACTGGGTACCCCAGCTTGTCCCACTTTTTTTTTTTTTGGTCAGGCAATTGGGGTTAAGTGACTTGCCCAAGGTCACACAGCCAGTACGTGTCAAGTGTTTGGTCTGAGGCCGCATGCATTTGAACTCGGGTCCTCCCGACTTCAGGCCAGTGCTCTATCCACCGCGCCACCTAGCTGCGCCCTCTCGCCCCACTTCTTCACCCCACAAAATGACCAAAGAAAACTCCAACCAAAATCAAAAATAGTGTTATTAATTCTGGTGTCTCAGAAGCAGAAAAAAAAAAAAAAAAAAAAAAACCCCCCCCCCCCCTTTCTTTCCAAACTTCGGCCCCAAGCTTCCGGGCCCTGTGAGGCGGGATGGGGGCTAACATCTCCCGGAGGCACTAGCTCTCCCTCCCTGCCGAGCCCCGGCTCCAGCCCATAGGGAGCGGGGCCCCTGAGTCCCGAGTCCTGGCCCCCGGCAAAGAGGGCCCTGCCCCCTGGCTCCAGAGCTCTGAACGGGACCAGCCCATCGGTTTGGCGAGTTGAGGCTGAGGCTGGGCTCTAAGCCCCCCAAGCACTCAGTCACTCAGTCCCATCAGGGTCAGCGCTGGTCAGTACTGGTGTTCCAGTAACGGCTGGGCTGCTGGGCTCTCCTGCTCCTCTGGGGGGGCCAGCCAGTTGCCCCCACCCCCAGGGGTCCCAGCTTCACAAGGCCTGGCTGATAGAGAAAGATCTTGGGCAGGGCCAGGCG